CAATCCTTGCCAACACTTATCTTAATTTTAAGTAAAAATAGTCTTCAACCTTAAGAATAAATAAAAAGTATGTAGCCTTCACCTAAACTAATGGTCAGTTATGGAGCTGACAAATTCTAATCTCTTGCACTATGCTTTCGTTTTTTCGTTTAATATATTGTCTTTTTAGCAAAAATATATTGGGTTGACTTAAAAGATTAATTATCAACAGAATGCTTATATTTTAGTGTAATACTGGAATTTATGAGCTTCCATGACATAAATCTAAATTATGTTTATCTATGTTATTTTTACTCTTGTTAATTACTCGTAGCAAGCAGTCACCAAAATCTTGTCCTGATTAAATACTTTATTTCCAATAAAATATGTTGTCGCTATAGGAAATATAAAGTGATAAACCGAATTGTGCGCGTAGTGGCAATACGTTGGGGGACAACAGAAGTTGCTTTCAATGCACGCCTATGCGAGTTCGAAACCGCAATCCGCACCAGTGAGAGTGCCCTTTGGATAGCAAGGATAGGCTAAATTTAGTGGCATTGTGAAGCTGACTCTTATCATTGCGTGAAAACTCTTTATCAGCTAGATTTTTATCTTTGATTCAAATTTCTGTTCCTCCGTAATTACATTAATTTGTAATTTCACTACGAACTGATTACTCGCCTAATTACAAAACGATAGACAATCATTTTTGCAATAGCTTCTTTTTGAGAATAACGTTGGTATATCGTAAGGATCGTTTTGTTTCTGTTTTCGACCTTCAAAAGGCCCATATGTAGTTCAGTCTCATTCGTTTTTTACGAGGCCTGATTGAGAAATAGTAATTTTTGCACAATTAGCTAGATTATTTAAGATTTCAAAGTCGCATTGTTTACAAGGCTCTTGACTAGGCAAATTTATTCTATTAATGACACACTACTTAATTAATTTTATTAATTAACTGTTTTGTTTAACCTTGGCATCGTCGTAATTTAACCCGTCTCCAGACTTTGTGCAAATCTTTACTAAGCTGCTTTATTCTTAGTGGAATCTTTGATTGGCTTTTTTATGAGATATGCATGATTTTGGAAAAATATTAGGTATATCAATATGCTTATATTTTCATTAAGTTTCCTTTAATTGAATTGAGCTATCCGTCAGTCTGTTCCTTTTTATCTGGAATAAATTATAAGATATTTTATAGAAGTGGGTTGACCTCTTCGCAACTTGGCCTTGTTGTCAGGGCGAATTAGTTGAACGCGCCTAGTCCGAAGACGTCTGCCATGGTAGTTGTTATGAACCCACCATCAGACAGTGGGCTTGGTATATTCTCAAACGTTTCGCAGGCAACATAGTCGGCATCATCAGTGAGTTTTGCCATTCTCCGCACCAAGCTACGAATTGTTAATTTGTTTGTTGCTCCATACTTGTTGTTGACTCAGCCTTAGTGGCTCGCCTTTGTGTATCTTCGATAAGCCGTATGCTGTTGGTGATCATGCATCCTTTTTTATGATTGATTTTCTTGTCAATGCCTCAATTCCCCCATTCCTATGCATATCTTTCAGCATGGCATATAAAATTTCATTGATCTTCATAGTTGGGTCCTAGTTTAGTATACGATATGTGGTCCCGTCTCAGAATATGTTCCATCTTCTCGGTATATTATTTTTTGTCAATTATCACTTTAGCTCCTCCTTTGTCCACCTGAAGGACTAATTGTTCATTCGTTTCCAGAGTTTTGCGTATCACGGCAAATCTGTTCCTGTGAGTAGGTTCTTGATGTGTCAAGATCTTTGGAATTGGTTCCATCTCCATTTCCCGTTTTGTCTCCTCAGGGAACTTGTTGGCGATATTGATAACCTCCACCAGGATGTCTCCTAGATGGTTTCTGTGATGTTGAATTGAAGCTAAAGTTGAATTGAGTCTTTTTTCTAGGAATGCGGTTGCTTCAGAATTGAGAAGAATTGATGATGAAGTTTACTTCTTTCTTCCTATCCTCGTGCTGATCAATAGGTGTTGTCACCTCGGAAGCCACTTCAACTGGGCGTACTGGCTTTACCTTAGGCTGTCTTCTAATCCCAAACTTACGAAATTAACCGTCATGCCGTTTTATTATTAATTCAGAATTCCTACGTGATTTCCTGTCGGTTATGTTCTGGAGTTTTTGTAAATCTTCCGGAGACATGATCCTGGCCAAATCACGCCGGACCTTTGACTTAATATCTATAAACTTAAACAACTTATAACATTCATTATAACAGGTCTCATTTAGTTTCTGAATAGTAGCATGGTGGAGATACTCATTAACCTTATCCGACTGGTAGGGTCTCTTAAGGTCACAGAATTTAGGAGTGATACCATAACGTTTACAACAGTTTAAAAAAGTCAGATGGGAAGATTGACCTACAATTATCCTCTGTCCGGCTGTATTCAGTGCATTGTTTCGCAATTTTACTACCGTATTTTATATGAAGATATGAGACTGCGACCGTACCAGAGGCCCCAATATCTTGTTCTTCATATCTATAATATATTTCCTTTTCTATTATTTTTGCATTATATAGATGTTTTATATCTCGATATAATTAAAAACTAAGTCTGTTATTTCTAAGACCATTAATACTCTGTTTGATCTTGATTATTTCACTTAAATATGCTACTCCGCATTTTAAAAGGATATTTTCTCATTTTTAAGTTGCTAAATTAATACTTCAAACTGCACAACAGTCCTAAACATAGGCACGTGAATATTTAAGCCCATACGTTAGATCTAAAAACCCATCATAACTTTCATGCTATCGACTTCTATTTTATATATGCGTATATCTTCATATTTAATATTTTTTCACAATTAAACTCCCATTCATAATTATTTTTTTACTTGGAATGCGGTTATCATATTTTTATTTGGTTTCACCATATTTATTTCATTAATCATTCACTTTATACAGGTTATATCACCTGATCACAGGGTTGCTTATGTCAAGAAGGCACACCTTGTAATCCGAATGTTGGAGATTCGCCTAGGCCAGCCAGTCTTAATGCAAGTGCTGAATAAATTACTTGTACTGGCTCGCCTCTCAGCAGTCTCAAATCTGTACTGTTCTGGCGAGTCAATACTAAACCTTGGACCAATTTGTCTTGACCAATCTTCATCAGATTCTTCTAATGGTCTCAATTCCATTCAAAGCCAGTGCTTAACAAAGACGACCTCACATACTAAGTTTTCAATTCCCCCAGGCACTGATTTTGCACATGCTTCTTGTCCACACGATTTGGTTGATCGAGAATTTAAGACTGGCGATACGGAAGAACTTGCTCGTAGCGGTAAAAGGGCTTCAGTTTGTTTGGTCAAAGGGCCAGCTTCAGCTTCACTTGACACTGGCATCTTGCTATCAGGGGCTTCTCCGAACGAGGACCTGCTCAGTCCATCAAGTATAAGTAGCAAAGCGCAGTTTTCATCATCATTCCGCTTTCCAAAGGCAAATAAATTTTAAAATGATTTTTACTTTTTAACTTTAGTTACAAAATGAATAAAGACCGTTAGGATAACGGTTTAGGTTTACTTATATTGATAGTAACATCAGTTTCAGTAAAAGTAAAATTTTTTACGGAGACGTTTTACGGCCATATAGGGGGTCAGGAACTGTTTCTTATGTTCTTACTTTGCCTTAGTGCTATATTCCTAAAATGGTAGGTGATATTATATAGAATTAAACAATAACAGTTTTACTGGATTGTGTCAAGTTGTCGATTCTCTGTTCTGTGGTCTCGATGACCCCGTGCTGAGCCTTCGTCTGTCACGCGACGGGCCTCAAAGAAATAAAACCAAAGTTTTGAATAACCGCACCAAATACTGTAAGCCAACAAATAGTGGTGGCCCGGTGCAATCAAATTCATTTCTTATACCTAACTAATTGATCCCAGTGTGGTATCCCATGCTTTGGTTGGCTGTTTTATGCCTAGCATACATTCTTGTTTGTAGGCGTTTATAAGACCTATGCAGGGTCGAAACTGCAGTCCACTCTGGATTAGAACAACTTTTGGGAGGGCAAGGGTATGTGAAATTCAATTGAAACGTCAGCTAGACTCATAATTGGGGAAAAGTTATACTACCAGTCCATCATCTTAAGCTAAATAGGGTGAATACACCTCATATGGCTATTTTATGCCTAGCATACATTCTTGTTGGTAGTGGGGTTGATGTATGAAAAGGATATGGTGACAGCTGTTTCCTTACTTAAATAATTGAATGCATGATTCTGCAATTTTCAAGTATGTGGTATTGCATGTTGTTTGTATGCAATATGTGAACCACGTGAAGTGTGAGAGTCTTAGCAAGACTCGAAGCCACTCAAGCCTCCTAGTACTCAGTGGTTCTTATTGTCTCGCATTAGGTCAATCAAATAGCCACAAATAATCCCCTGTTA